TCGCAAAGCTGCAAGTACTTCTCACTATAGGATGGCACATACCAAAAGGTAAAGAGCAGTCATGATCATAAGAGGTGAGAGAACAAGAGAATACAGAATGCCTTGGCGGAATTGAAAATACATCCAAATTCCAGAGCATATTAATCTTTCTTGAATGCATGCATGCATGCAATTAAACTTCTGAGAAAAAAATGAGAAAACAAAAAAGTTGACACTCTTATGACAATCGATAGATCTACCTACCGATGGAGCTTCTCTATACGGGTTCCAAATGTCTGCACTGTAAGTGCTTCAAGCTTCCGACGGTTCATAACTTCTTGTAGATCTTCCAAACATGAAACTAAATAGTTCAAGGATTTTTCTTCATCCACCAGAGTATTTGCTATGCATCGAGCAATATCAGCAAGTTCAATCATCTGCATCATTCAGAGAAAATTGAGCACCCCTGATGAATGACATGCTTAGTCATAAACAATCTGTAGCTGCAAACAAATGCAGTTGGAGAATCCAACAACAGCATCATGCTTTTACAATTGAATGAATGAGTTTGTATTCCTCAAATTATCAATGCTTTAAAATTGGATCAATCGATTCACTACTTGAAGTGACTTAAAAAGGGACTGCCATGTTTACACAAACTAACAATGAAATCTACAACTTTTCATACTAATTTTCCAATAATATCAGGCCATACCTTAATTTACAAAACAACAGAAATAGACAAATTCAGTTCCTAGTTAAGATTGAGATATGAAAACATGACCGAATTCAGAGAAATACTACAAGTAAATGGAAAGTAAAACTGTTAAAGCAGTAAAAAGTAATAGCAATATATACTTCAACAGCAAATAAAATAAGCTTATACATCTAAATTAAGCATCATTAGGAGATATTATGTGTCATAATAATGGATAAGTTGCCAATTAGAAATTTCTGAAAATCCTCCCTTTCCTAGAATAAGATGATCAGATGAGTGAATAATAACAAATACATCAGACCACATGCAAATAGTAGGCACAGCTTGCATGCATCATAGGCAACAAAAGCAAATTTCAAAAAGATTCAGAAAAAGAATCCTGATTTGCTAACAAAGACGGGCAAAATAATACATGTATAACATAAATGCATGTACATTTATATGTGTGTTTAGATTCATAATACAAGTAAAAATAATAAACCTGAAAAACATAATTTGTCAATTAAGCTAATTGTTAGAAAGCAGACATGAAGAATGGGTACCAGTGCAAATGTTTAAAAGAATGAACATATTGCATTCATTAGATAAAAACCACCTGCGGGAGATCCTCACACTCAGAAGTAGCATTCTTCCATGTCAAAAGCATGTCAATATGGCTAGCCCTTGGTGTCATTATAGGCGATCGGGGAGTCATGCTGCCTGCTGATGAGGTAGTCATTCCTTGATCAGACTTTGAACCAAAACGAGTCTTGCAAGTCATTGATGACAGATTTTTTAGGTCATCGAAAAGAAGAGTATTTTCAGTCTCATGAAGAGAGTCAAGCATATCAGCCGAACCTCGCCAGGACCAATCACTTAACTTTGGATATGGAATATCTGATTCTTCAATCAAACTTGTCCTAGAGATATTTGCTACATCCGGGCTTCCAAGAACATTAGGAAGATCTTTCTGTTTATAGGACTCTACCATCTTCTCTAGAGTCTCAGCTATTCTGATGAGACGCTCGTCAACACTAAAACCTTTTTGGTCACATCTATCTGCAACAGCACAAACTTTTGAGTGTTCCTCCACAAACGAAGTAGGAACATACTCCTCACAGATACGACACATAATTGATCCTTCTTCAGAAATACTCTGCTGATCTGACCAAAAGCCCCATGAAACATTGTGCTGATGCTTGGAAGGAACAGATTGATTCACAGAGGCATGAACAGAACTAGTTTGCTTAGGAGGATCAGTGGTGATCAAGCCTTTATCTAAAGTCGCTCTCAGTTGTGAGCATTCGACCTTCCCATTGGGTGATTCATCAATAAGGGGTATAGACTTTTTTTTGTCCTTTGGTGCAGGTGATGGTAGAGGTTTCCAAGAAGCCATGCGTTCTCTGGAAGAAGGGGAATCATCCTTTGCAACGTCAAGCTGTGAGAAGAAATCGACAGGCTTTATCTCCTGGCTTCTTTTCCATTTTAAGTTGTATTGTTCTTGACTATAGGACCTCCTTGAAACAACTGTTTCCACAGAGTTCTTTTCAGCCTTCATAAACATATGTTTACTATCTTTTGCTGGTACTGATGCTACCTCAGCAGAATGCAATTTCTTGGATCCTGAATCCATAGATATCTCATCCTCAGCAAAACCACTTTCCTTGTGAAATTGAAGTAATCTAGTGCATCTAGTAAGGATAAAGAGCATGTGTGTATGAAGCTTCTTTAGCATTCCTGAGGGAAGCTCCTGGCGACGATCATCCAAATCCTGAACTAAGCCTTCACACTGAAGCCAGAATTCCCCGGGTGACATAACACAACAGCTCCGAGCAAGTATCAACAAATCTTCTAAGATTTCTTTCCACTCAGGATGGCTTTCTAGATTTTTCTCCATTATACTAACCAAATCACCAGCAAAAATAGCCAGATCCGAGTTTACCTCATCCTTTGCTTTCTCGAATTTCACCTGAATAACTTTCAAGACTTCCTGTACAGCACATTAGAAGTACATAACCATCCTATCCAAAAATTTCCAAGCTTATATGAATAGAACATTCAGGAAGGAATTTCTCAAAAAAGAGCTTCAATGAAGACTGTAATCACCTTCAAATTGTATGCACTTCTAGGCTTCCAAAATGGAAATGGTAGTACTCCTTTGGAGCTCAGCTCATGTGAGTAACTTTTAACATCTCCAGGAAACTTCTTCCTGGGCACACTAGTAGCCTGCATTATTTCTTTAAAGCGAGGAGATTCAGACTCCTTAGGAGTTTCACAAGCATCATATGGTGACTGTAAGAGCAAACAATTAAAACCATTATTCACACCTCAATCAAAAATCTTAAATGAAGTGATACATGGCAAGACATGAATACTAATTGTGCTTTATGTAACTGATGTCCAACCTCTGCTTCCGAAGCAAATGTAGTATTATTACTTAAATCCTCATATTTATTCCATGGTAGATCAGCTTTTCCTGCAAGGGAAAAATAATTAGGTCTATTGGCAGTGATGAAAATATTCGACCTCATGACTACGATCAAGTATTCTTATTGGAATTAGCCGAAATAATATCACATGCGAGCATATCTGAACAAATTTGCATATTTATTTACAATTGTAGGCGAAAGATTGGAACATGGTAAATTTATGATGATAACCAATATACATCCATTGTTCATAGATTGGATAACTAAGATATTAACACTAACACCCAAAAAGGTCATGTCAACAATAATTTCAATGCTACATAGACGTATCCATCTGAAAAGCAGAAGGTTAAAATTATTTACCCTGCCACCCGAATGGTGCATCCATGCTGGCTGTGAACCACTGCTTGGCACCACCCCCAACGTGATCAGCCCAAGAACTGGTACACGACTCGGGCACCTTGTCTAGGGTCTTACCGTCCTTCTTCGCACCACCACTGTCAACCCCTGTTCTAGCCATCGAAGTGGACGAAACATATGCTGAGGCAGAGCCAGTGGTTCTCGACAAGTTGCTACTCCCGAGGCCCGACATCCTGTGCTCTCCACGGAGGCCTTCCTGCGGCAAAGGCCCGGATCTAGTTTTTATCCGGTTGAGACCGAGCGAGGATACCAGGATGGGGGAGAGGGCTGCCGCCGGCCCAGCCCCATCCTTGCCCACCGCCGCCCCTTTACGGAGCTTGGCGGGCGACGAGCCGCTGTCGGCAGCGGCAGTGGCGGCCGCAGGGGAGGGCTTGGGGGAGGAAGCATGGGCGGTATCCTTCCCCTTGGAATCTTTCGCATCCTTATCCTTCTTCTTTTGCTGGTGCTGCAGGTGATGCTTCTCGACGGCGTCCTTGATGAGGGTATAGCGGGGGGAAGCGGCGGCGGGGGCGGCGTTGGATTTGGACTTTTTCTTGTCGGATCGGGCGGTGGAGGGGGAACCGAAGGTGGAGCCGCCGGGGCTATTGGATCCGTCGGGGCTGGAGGAGGAGTCCGACTTCTTAGAGGAGGAGAAGAAGCGCCCCTTGAACACCATCTCCCCCTCTCTCTCCTGCACACTCGGGAGCTGCGGACGGCGGCCAGACCACAGCAACGGAGAGAAGCGTGGCGTTTCGGACAAGTCTCGGGGTGGTGAGGGGGACAGCGGAGAGGAAATGTAGGGGCGTGCGAGGAAGAGAGGAGGAGTTGAACAGCGGAGGGATTCCAGATTTGGTGACCGGAGAATTAGGTTAGACTTGCAGCCTTGCTTGGCCGTAGACCGGACTTGACACGTGTACAGGATTGGCAATCCCTCAAATGGAAATCCCGAGGTAGAACATTTCACATTTATAATGTCAATTTTATGTAATTCCAATTGTCGCGTTTATTTAAGAAGCATCGCCCTCTCTCTTTTTCTTTAATGTCAAATGAATTCAAAAAATAACATTATATAAAAACAATTTTAAAAAAAGCTCAGAAAAATGAAATGATATAAATAAATTTGACCAAACATAATCGTCTAAAAATATTATTATGAAGACCTTCTTTCAAACAATTTGCATGTGATTAATATATTATCTCTTAAGATAAATGATTTTTTTTTTTGTGAGTCCAACCTAAAAATTCACGTCAAAATGAAGCGTATAGATAATGAAAGGAGAAAGAACAAGTCTTTCTTTGGTTCACGCCCATATCACGGCCACTTGATTGCCAAGGACGATGGACATCGTCATTTTGAATCTTCCACGTATCATCTTGTATGCGTTTGTTCGAGTGGGAATATATATATATATATATATATATATATATATATATATATAACACGTGGCAACGACCAAGGGAACATCTGCAGCACCCGCAAATCCGCAATAGACGGCGAAGAAGACGACCAGCCTGAGCTCGACGTCCCAGAATAGGAATCCTTCATCGACTCCTCTATCCTCCTCACGCACACTCGCCCATCAAATGGCCGCCCGCCCTCGTCCTCCTCGCGATACTGCGCCATGGCCGCCCGAAATCTCATCGCCTTGGGTGCCATCATCCTCTGGTGGTGCGCCCCTGCCGCGGTCTGCGGTGAGGATGGGATCGTCGATGGGGACGTGACCATCATCCTCCCCTGCCTGGAGAACCTGATAGCATGCCAGGAGAATTTACAACAACCGGTCGCCTCCTCTGCGTGCTGTTCGCCCATGGCGTACTTGTTCGAGCACAACTCCATCTGTATGTGTTCCCTCTTCTTCAACGAAGAACTCCTGCACAGCTTCAACGTCACGCAAGAGCAGATATTCGACCTCACCATCAGATGCGGCATCAGCGTTGCCGCGAACTACTGCAGCAAGTACATTGATGGTGATCCATCTCCTCTCTCTCTCTCTCTCTCTCTCTCTCTCTCCCTTCCTCGTCTTCCTTTACCTCATGTTTTGGCCGACCCCCCGTGCACCGTCCAAATACAATACAGGAGAAAACAAACGACAATCTCCATTGAATCATAACCTCATTTGAGAATACAATGGCTGAAATGAAGCTTTTTCATGAAATTTCTCTTACGCATCAAATGAATCGTCAATTTCCATATAATTTATACGAATTAGCTCTCTCTCTCTCTCTCTGAGATTTGCTATTTCACTCTTTTAGCCTCAATAAATTGATCCGATGAGACTAGTTTTCTCGAGAAAATTTGTTTTCAAAATTCTAAACTCCAAAAAAACAAAAAAAACTCTTTCCAAGAAGGAGGTCATATCGAGTGAGGCCTCTTTAATATTGATCGACAAATGTTTGACTTTGGTGAATAGTATCAAATGCAATAAAAAGATAATATATTTGTATTGCACCATAAAATATTAGGAGAATGTTCTTGCTATGATTTGGTACCAACATGACAAATTCTATCAGCTCATTTCGACGATATCTGACTGTTTGGACTCATGTATTAAGCCTCGATTGGTGATGAATATTAGCTATATCTGTATACATAATATAGGATTACTATTACATCTTATTCATGACATGCAGCACCAACTTGCTATTTACTTTTGCGTTTTCTGTGTGCAGATGATGATGTTAAAACCGCATTGTCGCCTCAAGCTCTAGCAACATTAGCGGCTCCATCCCCTACGAATGGTACAACACAATAACATTCAACATCTATGATAGCCCACACTAATTTTCAATTTAGCTGTTGATGAACATAAATAATATTGCATGTCGTACTGATTGATCATCATCGGTGCAAGCCTTTTTAAACTATGATGAATTATCTGTTCTATAATTTTGTTCATTTGAAATAGACCTCAAAAGATATCTATGAAAAGGAAATTATCCTCAGTTCTTTGTTAAATATTGGTTTCTTTAATCCAAACCGATGTGAGATTAAATATGTTCATCGAGAATAATGTTAAGAATGCTCGATGCTTTATAGAGCTACATGGTGTTCTATAAATAGAATTGTTTCTTCTTATTTTCTTGAGGTAAATATTATCTTTTTGATGTTATATTTATAATTTAATGTCACAAACTTTTGTAGAGAGCTTTATTTTTCTTTTTGAAATTTCTTTCACTGTTTGACTAAGAATAATTAAATTATTCAATTGAGATTGAATTAGTGCTCATGGAGAATGAACACCTCATTCCCTTCTTTTCCTGGTCTTCTTACTCTCCTCACTTATTTTCACTGATCCAAGAATTTTGGGGCGCAAATAGATTGATGTTTACTAGAAGATCACATAGGATGATTTTAAAGACTTCCACTGAATCACAAATTGGTGACTTGTGTTTTCATTTCACAGAGTTAAGCAAAGCAGCTCCTCGAAAAGGACTGGAGAGTGTGATGGCCATGATTCTGATGAGCAAGATGATATTATTTACATTCGAGTTCAAGATTTGAGTTCTCTTGTTGCACAACTACTCAGTCTTGTGAGAGTTTGGAAGTACAGATACAATGTAATGATGTTTTTCCCTTTTTGTTTGCATCTTCTTTCTTTCTCTCCTTTCTTAGAATAAAAGGCTACAGTTCATGTTTCATTCCAATGGTTGAAACTTTGAGTCCAAAGGCCACAAAGGGAAGAGAAGAAGAGAAACATGGTGGTGTTTCTGGAAAAAGATGGTTAGGATTCTGTATCAAGAAGTTCCAAACTCGTGCACTCTTCCATCTCAAATTGCTGCCATGGCTGGTGCAGATGGAGGAAGAAACTATACTTATCATTGGAATTTTGCATCCTTGTAAGATAGTTTTCTTATTGATCCACCATTTGATTTGGTTGCATCACATAATTTAGCTTGTTGAGTTGGATGGAGAACTATATATATATATATATATATATATATATATATATATATATATATATATATATATATATATATATATATATATATATATATATATATATATATATAT